CTTGGTATTTCCCACAAGGTTTAACAACAGTATCCCAAAGTCAAAATGACAAAAGAACTTTGCATGTATAGAGTTTAGAGCTGTAGTCAAATTTGAAGAGAATAAACTCCCCCTTTTCCTTACACTGAAAGCCTTTTCATATTCATGTCGAAATTCAGTAAAATCTACTTTGGGGGAAAAACAGAGTGTTCTGCAATGTTGTTTACATACAAAAGACTGCTAAAAATTGCGTCAAAATAGTTCACCTGAAACTTTAAAAAGAAATGTATTCTATTTTCATTATTCTTCATGCTGAGTGACTTTATGAAGGTCAATGACAAACTAAAGGGTTTCTGAGCTCAGTGGCCCAGAAATCTGGAAAACTATATAATGTGAAGAACTAGAAAATAAAAGCTTTGGGTTGGGGATGGGCATGATACCTTTTTCAGTCTTAGCACTGGGCCTGGTCAGAGTAGATAATCAGTATATGCTGAATGAATGAATGAATGAATGACCAAACAAACCCCTAGAGGAGAATCAGGAGTGTGGAAGTAGGAAGCAGTTATTTCATGTTACTCACAGAGCAGTTAATGACAGAAAGCAGGACTTACCTATCTTTGCATTCCTAGTTCTTGATACCATGCCTGGTACATAGGTGGTGCTCAGGTAATACCTAATTGGCTTTTGGCTTGATCAATGATCATTCTATTTAAAGCAGTCTAATAGTAGAACAGGCTGCCTGAGAAATAGTGAGCTCTCATTTCTTTGGCTACTCTGGGTCAGCAGTGCCGCTAGCACCAGAGAGAGCCGGAGGCTGGACAACCACCAGCAAGGATATTGTAAAAAGACTGTGTCTCAGCACCTTAAAAATTCTTTCCAACATGCAAACATCTGGACCCTATGTTATATTGTTAAGCAAGTGAGCCTGTTAAAGCTGTTGAAACCCCACAATATTTTTCAGCCTTGTATTAAGACCCCCAAATGATTATCAGGACACCCTAGAGATGGCAGTGTCCCCAGCAAGAGGGAAGAAGTTCCCAGTCTGAGAAGCACAAACTGTAATTACCAAAAATAACAGCTCACCCTCCCTTCTAGCCAGCCTATTCTTTGGGTTCCGGTGTGCCGTGCTAACAGAATACGCTCAAGTCAGTATGCTACACCACCTTGGTCTCTTCACATACCCTGATAGTAAAAGAGATAGCAACCAAAACACTTCCATGTACACAACACAGACATGTATGTCTGCATGTCCTATTGGCAGTATTTTTCCACCGTTAGTCACAACACATTAGTGGGCTGTTAAATTACCTTAGTTACTCCCAGCCAACATAGATTTTTCATATACAGAATGAAATGGAAAAGATGGACTAGAATAAAAAATTTCAGTGTCTCATATGCATAGGTATACACTGTCTCATGAAAAGTTTTATAAATATGTAGATACTGTTATTGATACAGTATGTGAACATGCAAAATGGAATTCTTACTGCGTGTTGAAGTTGAAAAAGTTTGAAAGCCTGTGCTACAAAAGATCAGGAAGACAGCAATGATAGTTAAGAGGAAAGTCTTTAGCATCAGATATATGAAATTTGATTCCCAATCCTGCCATTTATGGCACCAATAATCCTGAGCACGTTGTTTACCCCTCTGTGCCTACTCCTCCCCTTCTGAGATAAGGAGACTATACCATATAGTACCTGGCATCCAATCAACACTCAATAAATGACAACTTTTCAAAGTCTCTTGTGAGAAACACCCGTCTGTGGAGTCTCAGGGCAGACCTGGTTGTTCCAGGTCTCATGGCACATGCAGGTCTATAAAGGATTCACAGGATATATTTGAAAGGATTCTCCCTTATGCCCATAAGCATAGTGTTTGGCTCTTGAATACCTGAGCTGGGGCCTTTCAATTATAGTAACAGCAGGAACTAAAAATCCTTAATATTGGGCTAAAAAATGGGGACTTCTTTCTCAAAATAGGGCTCAGGTCTGAGGAAACCCAGTTGGCTGGAATTGCTGGCCAGCAACCACACTGGAACACCCATTCCAGCAGCAGGTGCCAACATACAAGCCCCCAGAACTGCTGCCATGGTTCAGGCAGAGGTTTACTGGTGGAAGGACAGAGAGGTCTCCACTGTCCTTAAAGACCCTGTGATTTCCAAGGAGCTCATCTCTTATCCAGTGCTGCCTGCTGTCCCCACAGAGGAGACAACCATCAGCATCAACTTCAGTGACGTTGCCAAGGGAACACTATGGCTTCCTGCCATCCCTGTCCATCTCTATGTGAAAGGAAAGGCTAGAAATGAGACAGCCTGAAAAAATGAGGCAGCACCTCAGAATAGAGGAAAACAGACACACACAGGGAGCCAGGGAGGGGAAAAAACAAAACAAAACAAAATGCAATGCAGGCAAGAAATGGAGAAAAGCAGCAAAAGGCAGACAAAAAGAAACTTAAAAAATAGAAGCCAAATGAAAAAGAGGAAGATTTTTAGAAGCAAACCAAAAAAATTATAAAACAAAAAGGTAAATGACAAAAGAAAAAAAGAAATAGTGGGAAAAGCTATTAGGACAAGACACCATCCAATTCCATGCTTTGGCCACCGTTCCTGCAAAAGGAATAGTGCTCAGGCCGGGCAGGGCAGGGCAGGGCAGGGCAGGGCAGGGTAAAAGGGAATAGGGGCCCTTGATCTTGTGTTCTTCCCCTCTTCCTGAGTCTGGTCTGCAGCCTGACTTCCAGCAGGGAAACTCAGGACACAGGCTCAGAGGCGTTTGGAGAAAGAGGCTCCAGAAGCTGTTAGATTCCAGCTGGGCTGGAAACAAGCACACACTGCCCTGCCCTCCACGGTCAGGTGCCACCTCAGGTGTTCCCAGTCCTAGTCCCCTCCACCAGAGATAAGGCTCCAGCTGCCAAGCAATTCCTACCCAGTTATAGACTCTCGTATCTTGTCACTCCCAGGGAGCCCCGATCCCCCATCACTTTAGGCTGCACCCTGAGTCAGACACATTTGAGGGCATTCAGGTATTTTTCTGGTGCCCTGTGGGGCTCAACGCCACGTTTCCATTAGAGAGAACTCAGGGAACACCAGCAGAGGCCTATAACCATCGCCTGGCCTAGCCTTATGGGAATGTCTGGCTGATTTGCAAAGGGCCACCATGCCTCTTTCAGTGCTTTCCCCTTCTCTCAGGGGCTAGAAGAGGGTTTGGCCTGGCACTCTCTCCCTTTCTGAACCACTCGTCTTCCCAAACTTCCAAGTCACACAGAAGAGGCACAGCAAGTGCTTGGAAAAGATGACCCAACACAGTCCCAGGTCATTTGTGAGGGGCTCAGGCCTGGACCACCTCCCTCCCACCTCTCATGCCAAAGTGAGAAGGCTTGAGTACATCCATGTCCTTTCAGCTCAAATGAGCAGGAGCCAAGTGTATTATCAATTCTCAATGCAAGCTCCTGCAGCAAGCCAGCAGGGATGCTTTAGGAGGAAGAAAGGGGGGAAGAGGGAACTTCACAGTGAAGACACCACTAGTCTCAGAAAATCTCCAGACTGCAAGGCCCCATGGGCAGCCCCAAGCACCTTGTAGAGGAGCAAAGGGTCTTAATGAGCAGGCATTCTGCTGAAACCCCAGTGTCCCGGGCCCAGACAGAGTGGTCAAAAGGGGAGGGAAGCCTCCAGGTAGTCAGGCAGGGACACAAGGAGATGGTGTGCAGAGCTAAGGCCTCTGCTGGGCCTCTGGCTTGCAACCTGGGCCCAGAATGACTCCTTGCTATGTCATACCTACTGGCTGCCATGTTCATGGCCCAAAAAGTAAGATTTTTCCCCTAAAAATAGAAACAGAGGATGTGGGGATCAGTCTGGCCAGCCAGGCCGGCCCAGGTGGTCATGAAGGGCAGTCTGAGTCAGTCAGGGTTCTTGGAGCTGCCTTTGAGGCAAAAATACAGAGCATCTTTGAGCACTCCTGCTCTCTCTGTGGGAAGGTGGGCAAAATGCTCAAAATAGAATAAAAGCAAGGATCAGGACCCAAAGGGGTCTCACTCCCTGTTTCTCTGGACTCTCTATGGGGTGTCTGTGAGCAGGATTTCTGCAGAAGATAGTCCATTTTGTTAAGCCTTTGAATATTCAAATTGAAAGTACCGCGCAATCATTGATTGTCAAATCATGGGTTTCTAGAGGTTTTAAATACTTGGCATGAGGGGGAAAAAACTCAAACCTATACCCGAAGGTATAAAACATTAATTCTGTTTGTCTTCTGCTCCAGGAACCTGGATGCAGCTGGGTGCTTTGTGAAACTTTAAAAATGTTGCATCTCTGCTTCTCTCCTTGCACAGGAGCCCTCCTAGGCGCTGAGTCCCTGCAGCTGCAGCATCCAGCCACGGACCCAGCTTCTGCAGACCACCATGTCGGGTAACTCAGCTGCTTCTCCTGGGGTGGGGTCACGCGGGCCAGGGGCACTTTGATATGGGTGTATTTCCACAGCTTTTCCTGCACAGAACAGAGAGGCACAAAGTCAGAGCATACAAGGGTGTGCCGGGGATCCGGAGAGGGCACGGGCCACGCTGTGGCCGCTCCCACTCGGCGCCTGTTCCCGAGGGCCGAGGCCCAGGTGCCGAGTTGGCTGCTAAGGTCGTCCGAGTACCCCGGCCCCTCACCCACCCTCCCACTTTGCCACAGTTGTGACCCGGAGACTTCGCGGCGCGGATTCTGCGCGCCCAAAAGCGGCGGCGCGGGGGAGCTAGAGGCTCACCGTGAGCCCGGGACGCGAGTAGGGCGCGCGGGGCGCACAGAGCTGAACGCTGGGTCCCTCTGCGGACCCGAGCCGCGCCCGCACCCCGCGGAGCCGCGAACCCGGCGAGAAAATCGCGGGGAGAGACTGGACCGCGGAGAGGACGCGGTCCCCCGTCTCTGCGGGATGGGCATGGGACTCCCTGGGTCTGGGAGACAAATAACGCAACCTCCTTTCCTGAGGAGACCCCCCTAGCCCCGGAGACCAGGCCTGGGGGCTTCCCGAAGTCCAGCTGCGGTCTCCGCAATGACCAGGCAGAGGCGCTGGCGGTCAGGCACCGCGGCCAGGCGCCCAGGCGGGTCGCGCCGCCGCCCCAAGGCGCGGGGCCCGACTCCTCCCCGAGCGATTACCCCGGCGACTCACTCCGGTGTCGAGCTCGGAGTCGCACTGCGTTCCTGCGGCCACTCCCGACCAGGAAACCTCACCCGGACGTGCCTGGCCCGGCGTAAACTACCAGCCTGGCCCAAGCTACTTACTGCGGCTCAGTGGGGCCCCGGGGCCGCGGCTGCCCGGCTCCGGGCGCGCTGGGGCTCACTCCCCGACGACCGTCCGGCGCGCGCTCGCCTGGCCCAGCCAGCCGGAGCTGTCCGGCCCGGCCCCGCCGGCCGCGCTGGACCCGAGGGCAGCCCCTTTCGGAGATCGGCCTCCCAGCCGAGTGCGCGATCCTCGGGATCCCCGCACGGCTTTTCCGGAACTCGCACTGCGCGGACTCGACTCCGGGCCTCCGCGCTGCGCAGTCTCGAGTCGGAGCCGCCTTGCGCCGCGGAGAAATGCCTGCACCAGAAAGGGAGGGGGTGGGGAGAGACGGGAGGAAGGGGAGAGCAGGAGCGGGGCCTAAAGAGGGAGGAGGGAAAAATGGAGAGCAGGAAAGGCGGAGGAAGGGGGCGAGGGAGGGAAGGCAGAAGAAAAAAATCTGCAGAAGAGAGGGACGGAGTTCCCAGGGTCTGAGCCCTTTGCTGGGGTCAGACTGGCAGGTCCCTCACTGGCCCAAGGATAAGGCTCGCCCTACCTCACAGCCTGCCTCGCCGGCCTCCAGACCAAGGGCACGCAGAGGTCGAAGCCTCCCCAGAAGCCACATGTGGCCTGTTGGAGAAGGAAGGGAATCAGTGATTGTGCACTAGTGGGAGCATCACGATGGAGTAGAATAGATCAGCAACTACAGATCAGAGAGTGCCCCTGCACCAGCGACCGGCCCCTCCCCTGGTCCATCATACCCTCTGCTAGGCCAGGGGGCTGGGCCCAGGTACCCCCAACTTAGTTAGCCAAGATGGTGAACTCCCCTGGACTGGTCCCCACACTCCTGAGCAGAAAAACCTGTATGCTATCGGTCTAGGGATAGGACCCAACCTGAGCTGAGTGGCCACACAGATTTCCGTATTTTCTGATCCCTGCTGATGCCCTGCAATCTGCTCAGCCTCTCTTCTCCCCTTCAAATTTGAGAACTTTGAGTTTCTTTCCCACTTGTCCTTTAGCATTCTCTTTGTGTTCTCCAAACGTAGAAAGCTGGCCTCAGGTTCCATGGTCTATAAAGAGGACCCCCACACCCCAAACTGACACCCAAACCTCACACTTGGCCACTGACCCAGTTGTCTTTCCCCAGAAAAACCAAAGGTGTATCAAGGTGTCCGGGTGAAGATCACGGTGAAGGAGATGCTGCAGCAGAGAAGGGCTCACCAGGCAGCCTCAGGGGGAACAGTAAGCATAAACCCTTCACTTACTCCCAACTCAAGTTAGGCATCTGGGAAGGGGTAGAGGCCATCCTGGGCCCCAGTCAGCACCCAGACCTGGCCTTCCTGAGCTGTCCTTATAAATTTGGTCCCCAGCTTCATCCCAGTTCACCAGAGGAAGCCACAAAGAATAGCTGTGGCACGTTTGGGGCTCAGGATTGGGGGGAAGCCCATCCCTCCCTGATCCTAGTTGAAAAAAGGACTTGTTGATCCTGTGTAGGGAGAGAAGCAGCCAGCAGGTAAGTAGATTGTTATTCTGTAAGGAAGACAGTGTGTGTGCCCTCACATATACAAAGAAAATCTCTCCCAGAAACTTCTTTCGTTTTAGGAAGCCCTTCAAGGATAGAATCTCTGTGGAACAGACCCCCTGCCCTCCTCATTCTTCTAGAACCCAACCTCTGAGGTCATTTATCTGTAAATTTCAGTATGGTGTTTTATCTGTAAATCACCACTCTGAAAGTTCCCAATGGAAAGGGTCCATGTCTCTGGGGAAGAGACAGCTAGGAGTATAGACCACCTCCTTAAGATGTAATGAAGCCTTATACTGTTCCAGATTATCATGAGATTGATCTGGATAGTCATAAGATGCCCTGCCACTTATATACATTCTAAACAGACAGGACTGACAAGAGCTCTTGGGGCAGCAGCAGAATAAAGCAGGTTGGGTTATCCTCCAGGAGAGAGAAATTCATCACTGTTAAGTCCTTGATTGTACAATTGCTTGCTGATTGGTTTAGGCGTGCATGTAGGATCTGACAGCTAGGGCCCATATTGCCAATATCAGCATTGGTGCGCGCTCAAGCTTATTAGCACCTGCCTCAGCGATGGGTTTTGTGCCTGGTGCTATTTGTTTGCAGTGCAAGACTTCATGAAATGGGCCTTTGTGAGAAGACGCAAATCATATTGGGGTGGTGAGCACAGGTTCTAGAGCCAGTGGACTAGGTTCAGATCTCAGCACTTCAATGGAGTGTGTATCCTCTGAGCAAGTTATCCCGCCTCTCTTGCCTCAGTCTTCTCATCTTTAAACTGGAGATAAGACTGTGTGAGGGCTATATGAGTTATTGCATATAAAGCTCTTGGAAGAGTGCTTTCTACACAGTAAGTGTTAAATTAATGCTAGCTATCATTATTATTTGTGAAAAGCAGCTACAATAAAATTGCAACCAAGGCTTGAAAGCTAGCTTTTCGGTAATGTTCATCTGCACCCTTTGCTCAGAATTTAGAGGTTCAGGTGTGAACTTGTGAGATGGCCTGCACTGTGCAAATTTTAAATTTAGTGACAAAGTTAGTACCTTTATATGCAGAACTTGAGCTAACACAATAAGACTTCCTTCCATTTGTAGATGGTTTTACAATGATTCTTTTAAAGCATTTTTGCACTCTCATTTTTTCATTTAGTTCTTATAATAACCAGGGGAGGTAAGTAGATCAGGGATCTATATGCCTCTATTACAGCTGAAGTTCAAAGTCTTGCAGTTACTAATGGTAGAGCTAAAAGTAGAACCAAGGTCTTCTTATTCTTACTACAAAAAACAAACAAAACTTCCCACCTGTAGGCTCCCTAAATTCATCTTTCTGCAGATCCAGCTGTGCTGAGCAGGAGTCTGGTAACCTCAACCATCAACCCCTTTCATTCAGAGATAATTATAAAATTAATAAAATCAGGAAAAAGGGAACTGGGAAATGCCTCTTAAACAAACAAAAAAAATCATCAAGATGTTCATGACAAAATGTAATCTTTCATTACGGAGCTTTGGTACAAGGTAGAATTCTGCTTCAGCTGTGCCTGGAGAAGTCCCACTAGGCATGGCGATTCTAGTGCTGTTGGCCTCTTACAGGTTGGTTTGGCCACTGTTCCCCTGTTAGCTAGCTGCAGGAAGGAAAGCCTGGGTTAAATATTTCACTTGTGTATCTGATCAGTTTCTGTTCCCTGGAGAGATTTGACTTATCTAAATGTTTCCCAATTCCCCCCTGAGAAGTAATAAAGCAATACTTCTGAACCAGTGCCTTGCAGAGAGGTTCCTTGTATAGTATATCTGCCCATGCCAGAAGGAGTAGCACACAGATGATTTAATTACAAGAGCTAGATGTACAGCCCTTCTGTGGGAACCCGCAGAAGGATCTGGGATTCCAGGAAAGCTGTGAAGGCATCAGTAGGCAAGGATGGCAAATACCAGGAGATAATATATGCCTGCTTCTTGGTGTAGACTCTTCTGGTTCAACAGAAATGATCTCCAAGTTGTTCAGTGGTTGAGGGACATCTCAAGGAAGCTTTAAGCCAAGGAGAGAGTTAATTTTATGAAATACACAAAGCAGGAAGAAATTCATCTTAATTTGTTATAGAATCAGAGTAGTATCCACAATTTGAAATTTTAAGAAGACAATTGTAAATGGAAGTTATAGATTAAGACAAGTATCACGGTCTCAAACAGTGCCAGGAGAAATTGAGTACATGCAGGATTTGTAAATTTGATTTACAAAAACTTATTTTGGCCAGGCCAGATCAATATGCAAACAGCCCTGCACACACACACTTCTCTTACCCTTAGGATAAAGGGAAACCTAAGTTGAGTTAGTACTTATCAAAAGATATAATTTATTCTTTTCTAACCATTAATTTTTTAACAGCCTTGATATGTTTTTTAAATTGTAGATTGTGGATTTTTGTGCTGTTTGAAATCTAAGAGAGAGGTACCTTTATTTGTATTCTTGGAGCGAAGTAGAAAGTGAGCCCATAGCCAGAAAGATAATATCAAGTAGGATATTGTAAATATACCTTAGGGAGATAAGGTAGGGAGGCAGACAAACAGACCATTCTGGGGGAGGAATGGGGTTAATGAGAACTCTACAATGAGTTTTTAAAACCCACTCCTTCCAAGTCCTTCAGCTCAAGCTGCAGCCAAATATTTGCATGAAGAGCTGGTGAAGGATTCCAGCTTCCTGGTTCATGACATTACAGCATGGATCATTTTCAAAATTAACACCACCTCCTGTTTCGGCAGTGGCTGGCCGTACAATCTCCTACAGTCAGTGGCTACAGGTATGGGAATAAGTATACCCTGAAACCCAAGAGAGAGGTGTGGTGAGCTCAGCTTCCCAGCACAGAACCACAGGGCAATGTTAGTCCTTTTAAACTTTAAAGCCACCACCTGAAACCTAAAGTAGTAATAATAATAACAACAACAACAACAACAATAACAATAATAATAAAAATAAATACTACGTTATTCAGTATAATTACCAGTTCAACTAGAAAATACAGGCTGTTTTACTTTAAATAGTTAAAAGGAGCACTCTTATAAATTTCAAGTATTATTGTCGTAAAAAAAACAACTTGCATAAAAATTAAGAAAAAGCATACAAGGAGTTGAAATATTTCCTGACCATTAACTAGAATATAGGTAGACTCCAACTCGATGACTACAGCTTTAAGAAAAAAAATTTTTTTTTTAGTATTTCATAGCTAGTAATAACATGTGAATATTTTGAGCTCTCAGAATTTAAAACATTAGGAACTGTGTCCTTTGGGGAAAACAAATTCCTAAGGCTAAATAGCTAGATAGTATTTGGAAATTTTGAAGAAAATAATTGACTAAATCATAAAAGTTGGGATTAAATAAATGTAAGTTCTTGTTAATTTTTAATTGAATAGTTTTACAGAAAGGCTATTTACTGTTTTCTTGAACTGTTACATTTCTGTAATATAAAAATCATTTAAATTAAATTTTCATCACAATTAATAGCTTTAAAATTTAAGTGGGAGAATCTGATATTAGAAAACAAACTCCCAAGCTAACCTAAAAATTGAATCTAAGTAAAATATAATATTGGTTGTATTTAACTTTTTTTAGAGGAAAGAATCTGGCTTACCTTAGAGCAGAAGGCACCATAGTTCACATCAAAATGTCTTAGCTTTCCCTGAGTAGAACTTTCATTTTGCTTTGCTTTATGGTCATATTCTTGCTTTGGCAGCTGTCCGGAGGGAACAGTGTCCACCTTTCAGATCCAGTCACGCCACCTTCTTCAGGTCAGTACAGCCAGCATTACAATTTCCTCAAAAACTCTTTCAAAAATGCATCTCGAAAGTCTTTCAATGCTTGATTCAGAGGTTAAGATAGGCACCACCATTTAATTGCAGTCCAACCAATCAGAAGGTGAAAAAAGCATAGTGACTCCAGATAGAATACCTGCAAGGGAACAAGTGCAAATGTTTCCTTCTTTCCGAAGTGTGTATTCTTTGCTATCTACTCTGTCCGCAGTTTGTTCTTCTCATTTATTCCAGTTCCTCATCTCCAAGTAACTAAACTAGACTAAAAGATCAGAACTGTTTTAAAAAACTTGTCTTGTTGAGTGTACTTTAGATCGAATACAGAACATCCTGAGGTCCTAGAATCATGCCTTTGCTCTTGTTCAATCAGTGTCTAGCCGACAGGGACTTCCCTCCCCTTCTTTTTCTCTCTTCCCAGAAAGCAGTTCAAACAACTGTTAAGTTTTCTCAGCCCAATACGAATAACTCTATTACATAAACACTCCTACCTATGCCACTCAACAGCTAAGAGCTCAAAGAGTTCAAATATAAGGAACCTGCTTATGGTAACTTACCACTGAATTTGCCACTTACACTTAACTTCAAAGGAATCTTTAAACTTCAAAAAATCCCTCTGATGGACACACTCTAAATCTATCTTCTTTGAATGTTAAAGGACAATAACCACAATATGGGCCTATTATTACCAAAATGGAAAAGGAGTCATGATTTCAGAAATATTCTTGTTATTTAACAACTTATTTTAATTGAATTATCACATTAGCAAGTTCGCTAAGAAAACATTTTTGCCTTTTGTAATTTAGAACAAGTAGTACTAATTTGTCCTTCATGTTCCTGGTTTCTATCTATAATTTGCCTTGCCATTTATACCACTTCACTCCTCAAAATTTAAGTTACTGAGCAAGTAAGAAAAGTTTAGGAAAGTAATAACCCTAAATCCAGAGGATTGTTCCCCATGACATCAGAAGTTTTCCTAAAGCCTCAAACAACTCTGTAAACTCTTTCTGAGAGGTTTATTTGAACCGCAGATGGGGGCCGAATGTGAATGCTTTTCATGGTCCAAGAAAGTGGAGGCCTGAGCCACTGTTTGACTGTGACAGCTACACACAGGTTGGATGGCTATTGCCATCGCCATCGGTGTGTGTTAGCCTTAGCCGCATTCACAGCCGATTTTGACATTATTAACCAGATTCATTTCACTGGAACTTCAAATAGCTCAAGCAACTGAAAAATCCTAAGTGCCTAACTGTTTACATCTCTGGAACTTCTTAAGCCTTCTTTTCCCTTATACATAGTAAATATTCAGAACATGGAATAGAACTTTATTCAAATCAATAACTGCAATTTTTAAACAAAAAAAATATATTTTTCCATTCTCTTTTAGTCTATTTTGAACCTGATTCGAGTTCTTCCACACCTAATTGCTTTCAACCCCAAGAATTTTCCAGTTGTGTTTCTTGTGAAGAAAACCCAAGCTGCCTTGACCAGATCTTGGATTCCTACCTTCAGACAGAGACACACCCGGACCCTTTCCTCAACTCCATGCAAAGTGCTCCACACTATTTCCAGGACAGCTTTCAGGCTGCCCCCTTCTGCTTTAACCAGAGCCTGGTAATTTATCCCTGTTCTTAACAAAATCTGTTTATTGTTTGCTATGAGGTAATAATGCTTTGTAAGAATGCATCATCTCATCTCATGAGAAAGCATACAAACACTATCAACAAGGAAATCATCCAGGGAGCAAACAAAATTATTTACAACTCAGGGGAGGTAGAAATAGCCACACATTGCTCAAGTAGCTGTGCCAAGTTGGTGTGTGGCAATAAAAAGGTTTCCTGACAATATATACATTTAGTGGTTTTAAACTATAAAGTTAAGACATCTACTAATTAGAAATCACAGATTTAAACAATGGCCCTTGGCTTTGGTGGTTCTTGAAAATGGAATTAAGGCTGTATCTCTATGATACCAAATTATCATACTGATAAATGGGTTTTGTTTTATTTTGCCATTGAATTTGCTCCACTAACTGGTTGTTTTGATCTGGTTTAGGCACAGGAGCTCATTAGGGTCTGAGATGGTTAGTAAAAATGAAGCCCTAGCACTTGAAAGAATTTGGATGGTCTGTTCTTGATGGACCTCACATGAAAAAAAATGCAGAAAGGTTTGCATTAGTAGGAGGATACTAGTTGTTTAAGATGCCTTTTAGATACTCTCGATATTTTAAACCTTAAAAAGTAAGTTTTTTGAATGTAAATCCTTTCTTATTTGGGTTTGTCAAAAGTCTGTGTAGGAATCAGATTAAATTTTAAAGGGCTAGGAAATGAACTCCACAGAATGAGAACACAGGGACCCCAATCTTCCAGCCCCATTCAGTTTCAAGGTAGGCGTTCTTAGTAACAACTGCAGACCTGCCTAAGGAAAAGCAGAAGGTACCTTTTTCCTCAGGGGACAAAACTTTAGGGACTGTAAGAGTAGTTTCATGTCTCGGAGCCTCCCAGACACTGGTCATTGAAGGTTCCAGTTCTACCTGAGTATATTCCCCTTGTTCTCCACAGCCAAGGGTGTGGAGAAACATCCAAGGTGCCACCTGCAGCTTATATTGTGCCTGACGCTTATATTGTGGCACACAGCAGGATTTGATGAGCAGGTGACTTGAAACACAATGGGATTTTGTGGTATAAGGACAAAGCATCCTCTAAAGTACAGTTATAACAAAGGAAGCCAGTGAAGCAAGGCAATTTATTGTTGGGAAAGAAATAGGTAAATATAGAATGCGGTGTCATGAAATCATGCAATCAGCAAACAAAATTACTTCTGCAGACTTGGGTTGGGTTGGGTGTTTTGTTTCTTTACCCCTAATGTTCCTACTCTAAGTTATTAAATCCACTCTATTCAGTCCTTTTAATCCTGTCTTAGTTATCAAGCTCTTTTTTTCCTTGGTTTTCATTTCTCCAGACCCCAGGTTCACCTTCAGATACCTCCACTCTCTCTGGCTCCTTAGACCACAGTTACTCGCCGGTACATCTACCTTCATATGCTGCGGAGAATTACAATTCTTCTCCTTCTCTGGACGCCAGAAACTGCGGCTATCCATCAGAAGACTACTCCTACCCTCACTTGCCCTCGTACGCCCAGTACGACTGCTTCTTCCCAGCCCCTACCTCAGGCTGCTACTGTGTGTCCTGTGAGGCAGAGCACTTGGCCACCATCAGAACATCAGAGTATTTTTCCTATCCTAGCACAGACTGTGTGAACTTTGATCCCATGGCAGCAGCAACTAGTGATTTCTATATGAAGGAAACAAACTTTGATATCTGCTATAGTTCATAGAACTTCATTAATTTGGAACATGGTGTGTATGTATCTATTTTTCTGCCACACCAAATGACAACTTGAAATAGGCAACTTGTTAACAAAATACCACAGGCGCAGTTTACATGTCACCATTTTCAGTTTTCTGACACTAACTTAGGCATTAAGATGAAGTCCTCAGACCCGGTCTTTGTGCCACTCCTACTTTGTATGCTTATGGTTAAAAGTTTTTTAGGGAACATTTAATTGTTTTACTTTTCTGTATAATGAACAAATTCTAATTTTTTTACTAATAAATAATTTTGTATTATTAAATGTTGGCTTACTTTTTCAATTTTTGAGTAATAGTTTCCAGTTGGTTTGAATATCCGTTACTTCTGGAAATCACTAATTACTATTCAGTAAATTAATCTCACTTATCCATAAACTTAAAATTATTTTAATGTGGCAAGGTGCCTGGGCTTCCATGGGGATGGGGAGCAGACACAGCTGTGATGGCAGAAAAGTGAGAGTTGGCCTCACCTGTCAGCGAGGGCGTGTGTACATCTTGGAGCAACATCAGAGAAAGACATTTAAGAATCATTATTTTTTTGTATGTAACATTAGTCAATAAAATATTAATATGACCAAAAAGCACATCTTGCCTACAGCAATGTTGATTTGCAGATAATTCTTTTTTCAATTCCAGAGCATTGTTTTGTAAACTTCTGGGCAAATATTTGATCTTCTTTCTCCTGAGGGCTGCCTTGCAGTTGATGCATCACCAAGTTTAGAATTTGTTGCTACCTTATATTTCTGAATTTCTGCTTCAGGTCCTTAAATATGCATCACTTATATTTGTAGATTGACTTATAGAATTGGCTGTGTTTACAACTGAATTTCATAATTTATTTTTTCCAATGAATCATTTGAAAAAGCCCAACAATCTTTCAAGGTGAAGAGAGCTAATTAAGCTACCTAGGCTAGACCTTACTGTCAGATCCTGTTTGCTGAGGGCTAAGGCACAGGACATGAGCCCTGCACTGAAGTCTGGGGGGCATTTTCCACGTCCCCAGGTTTAGCGCAATGACAGTGTTACTGGCATCATTGGCAATGGGCCACAGCTGCCCTTTTCTGAGCACTTCCTGTGTGCCAGAGTTGTCTACAGGTTTTCTCACACATCGTCTCATTTCATCTTTGCAACAACATTGGTAGCAAAATGAGGACTCTGGACTCAGAGAAGTTCAGTCACCTGCCCAAGGTCACCTGGCCAACAAGCACCCAAACTCGGGTTGGAAGGACATCAAACGTATGCTTCTTACTCTCCAATGATGGTGTAAAGTTCGATGTACGATTTTTGTAAAGTCTGTTCAGGAACCTGTGGAACCATCTCCCATTAAACCCCAACTTCCTCACACACACAGAGGTGTGACCCCATCATAACTAGTCCAAACTCCCCAGAAGGGTGAGACTGTCCATAGGATAAAAAGTTGTGAAGCACAAGAGCTTTCAGTTTGGGGACCAGGGGAAGAAGCTAACCAACTGCCACCTCAGCAAGCCTCTTCCTATGAGGAGGCAGACATGCTTTCAAAATGACACTGATTGTCCCCTCCCTTGGGACTCTGCAACGGCTTGGGCAAATAGGACAAGTTGCAACCTGCCTCCTGGGATAAATGTGCCAAGGAAACAGAACAATTACTGCCTTTCTGAGATGCCAACAGAACTAAATTTTTAATAGCTTCAAACTAAATTGAAACTGGCCTGTTGTCAACAAATATCTGTTCACACAGACCAAAGTCCCTGTGTACCACACACCCTCCACCCAAGAGACAAAAAGCAGAGAACTGGGAAGAGGCCCGGTGGTTGGCACCAAAATATCCTTTTCTTGGATATCATTCTTCCCCCCCCCCCACTTGTATCCTTTGTCTTGTGAATCAATTATCTTGAAGCTCTAACACGACATTTCTAACTTCCTGTTTCTTGTTCTTTCTTCACATGCCTCTGACTTTTTGCCTGAATCTCATGTGAGAAAAGATTCATAAGGGACTGTAAGACAAAGGCTAATATAGCTCCTGTGCATCACAATGCATAAACCCACCTTAAACTGATCTTTAAGATCTTCCTTGCATTTGGACTAACAGGTCACCTGGCACACAATGAAGTGGGTGGATGCTGCTCACCCAGTCTCTTAATCACCCCAGCACACACAGAACTGCTTAGGAACCCCACCGCTGTGGGTTCCTAAGTCAAATATCACCCGCAGCACTGGGGCAATCTAGAATGCCTCTCCTCAACATAGACCTTGGAAGCTGTATAAAATACAGATGTCTGTGCCTTAGTGTGAGAAAGCATGATTCGATAAGTCTAGTGGGGCCCAGGCATCTTCATTTTTAATGTACCTAAGTTGATTCTTATATAAATGGCCCTCTGTCTACAGCTGAAAAACACTGACACATTCAATGTCTACTTGTTCACTTGTAGGACCTAGCAGCACAATAATAATGTTACGTAGACCAAGCTCTTTCTATTGGCCAGCGCTGTGGGCCTTATCTTAGTGAATGCTCAAACAACCACATAAGATAAATACTATTGTACTCATTTTTATTGATGATGAAACTGAAGTTTGGAGAGAGAAAATAACTTGCCCAAGGTCACTCAACCTATAAATCAGGGTAAGAACTTTCCAACTCAGGTTGTCTGATGCCACGGTCTGAGTTTCCAATAGCCTCAGTAAACTTTCCAAACATTAATTATACTTGGAGGAATTTGACTTTTTGCTTAAAAGTCACATGTATATCGGTAGCCATTTCCTCATACCACAGAGACATTTAATAAGATTATTATGAAAGTTTGAATGATTTTATTATTCAGAACCATTAGAAATTAGTGAAACAAAATATTAATTAAATGCTTACCTTGTGCAAGATTGATTATATGTCTTCAAAATGTAGCCAGTCAAACGTTTAAAGGGGATGTAATTTTTATTTGTTTTTTTTTCTCTTTTATTGAATCTATTGCAATGACACTGGTTAATAAAATTATGTAGGTTTCAAGTGAGGGGGCATAATTTTTTTAATTTATATTTTTCCTTTTTTATTGACTCTATTGGAGTGAAACTTGTAAACAAAATTATACAGGTTAGGATGGCTATGGACTGATTTTCACATTCTTAAGAAATTTATCTTAGGGGTCAACCCTTCAAGCCTGAGATAGATAAGATGAGGCAAAGTTGAAAGTAGTAAAGATTTAGAAACTATTACCTGGAGCAATGGCCTGGAGTGGTGACATCCTGGCAGCCAGCCTAAGCCTGCAGGTAGACAGCAGGAAGCAGGTGTAGATAAGCAGAGCTGAGCTGACGGAGCCCAGCAGCAGAGAGGGCAAGGAGGAGGTGCGGGTGGGGTGCTACCTTTTGATTTAAAAAGTTTTTAAAAATCATACTCAGTCAAGATAGGTGAAGGCTAAAAAGAGTTAGAATCAAAGCTAATAAAATTGTGAATAATATAACTTTAGTATGACTTACCATCATTCCTAAATCCTTAAACCCTATGTAACCCCCAGTACTGGCAGGGCTGTCCAAGAAAGCAGTGGACCCTCACACTGCCTCCCTTCCTTTTACAGATAAGGGGGTGAGGATGTCCTGCCTAGAAACCAGATTCTGTCCAGGGGACTAGATTTGAGTGTGGCAGAGCAGGGCCATCTGGGGCTAAAGGACTCTATTTCACAGGCAGGGAGATGTGCCCCATTGCCTCTGGGTAAAGTATAGAGGCTAGAAGATGGACAAATCTGAGAGGACTTATCTCTGCATAATAATAAAGCATCAATTCACTGAGGGCAGGAATATGTGTCCACTTAGAAAATGGTTTGTCGTCCTTAATATGGATAGAGAACAGGCAGTTTGGTCCTTGGCAAATGTGGAAGTGTGTGTGCTCCATCCTTTGCCACTAGAATAACAAGAGGAAAGAGGAGACATCTGTCCTTTAACCTGTCAGGATTGGGCCTGAATACCAAAGCTCCAAAGTTACCACCTCTCACTCCCATTGTGAAATTCTTCGTTGAATAAGCCAGATTCCGAGGAGATCTCTGCTGTCGGCAGTCAAGTTCTAGGGTTGCCTTGATGGGAGGAAGTGGGGGATCCCAGGGAAAGACCAATTTGGGGGTAGGTGACATTTTCCCTAAAAAGGGGAGTGGGGTAAGAATCATGATTGTGCAAAGAGAAAGGCATTCTCTGAAATGAGGTCTCATAACGGGACAGGGGACCTAGACTAAGAATTGGGGTACATCCTCAGGCGAGCTCCCTGTGAGAGGTTCAGTTTTGGGGGGCTTTTTTTGAATGGTGATCACAGCTCCATTCAGCACTGTATTTTAATTTCTCCCCTCCCACACTATAATTCCTGTTGGTTAATTGCAACTGTTCAGAAAGTCTGGCTCCCAGCAGAGATTTGGATATAAGTACAGAAAATAAAGTGAAGGGACATTACAGAAATATGTATCCTGCCCATTTCAGTCTTCAGCGCTGAGGCTTGTTTGAAGCTGGTAGCATTTGTTGTAGGGACCTGTGGTCCGGGGCAAACAGGAAGTGGGCTGCAGCCAGTGAGTGGTGGCCACGGCGGAGACAAGACTCATGGGGAAGAACATGGATTGAGAAGCAGCAGCTCCAAGATATAGAGAGAGAATCACAATGCTTGAAAATGAAAGAGGCTGATACTTGGGTCACTCCAATACTTTAGGACAAATAAAAGAAAGTTTTTACACAGAGGGTAATAAACTTTAAAAAACATATTACCCCTACAAGTTGGACACTTAAATAGTTTTATAGGGGTTGAGATAAATTTGACTGATAATATTTTAGGGACCCAGAGATCAACCAGTTCACTGGTTCTCAACCTTGGCTGCACGTTACAATCACCTGAGGAGATTTTCAAAAACATTGACGTTCAAACCCCAGACCAATGAATCACAATCTCTGGAGTGGGATTTTGGCATTAGAATTTTTCTTAACTCTTTATTTTGACATTACAAGAAGTTTCAAAATTAATACA